TGGTTGAACATTCCAGTGGTTTTCATGCAATCGTTAACGAAACAAAATTACGTCAGAAACTACAATCAGCATAGAAAGCCCATCTATCAGAAACGAAACCAACGAGATCAACCGACAATATTACAAAAAATATTACTAAAAGCCCATGCTGGCAATGCGGTGGTGTTCACCATGTAAAAGATTGTTCATACAATCGAAACAAGTGCATAACTTGCGGAATACTTGGCCACAAAGAAGGCTACTGCAATTTCAATTAAAAGCATCATCAACGCAGTCACCACCAAACATATCGCTCGTCTGGCGCTCATAGCATCATTACATCACAAGACACCCATCAACGAGCCGATATATCACTATTCAGCTGAACAACCGCTCGACTCGATTCCAAATCGACACCGGCTCAAATACCACTATTGTGTTTAAAGCATCTTGGAAACAGATCAGTGCACCCAAACTGTCGGAAGCTACAAAAGAGGCATCGGCCGCTTCAAATAATCTGATACAATTTTCAAGCCAATTCTAACAGACACTGAAATTCAACAGCACCAGTGCAAATGGTATCATCTTCGTTGGTAAAAGCAACCTTCTTGGTTCATAACCATCTTGGCCTCGACTTCATGGATGAACTCAACCTGTGGGATCTCAACCAATTTTGTGGTAACGTACGACGATCACCGTCAGTTCATCAAGTGACTAACCAGCAACAACCACTGATCAAACAATCCTATCCAAAAGACTGCAACAACTCTCTCGGACGTTGCACGAAGACCAGAGCAACCCTACACCGTCATCCGAATCGAGGTAGACAACAACTCAATTTGAATCATGTTTGTCAATGTTCGTCAACAGAAGACACCTGCGCACATCAATGGATTTGATTCGGCCCACTACACCTACCACACCACGACGCAACAGTGGAATGAAGGAACAATCTAACAAAAATCATGGCGCACGTCAAAAATCATTCGTCAAAAGTGATCTTGTTTATTATCACGGTCAGCAAAGAGAATGCGAGAAGGGAATAGTCCTCAAGATAAGAGGCAGAGTGTTATATGATGTTCAGATTGGTACAAATATTTGGAAGAGACACGCAAACCAACTGCTCGAAAGAGAACCTGACAAACAACACTATTCAGGTAATGAGACATTGAACTTGCCGCTTGATGCCTTCCATGCCAACCCAATCCCAACACCTGACCCTTCCCCAGAACAACACTCACCAGCGATACCAGTCCGACGTTCTAATCGGATTCATCGCCGCTCACAACGTTTAGTCATCGGAGAAATCATACGGCACAACAACTCGAGGCGGAAGTGTTGGGTAGTGATCTAATTTGCATATAGTGATCTGCTTTGCATACGGTGATCTGCTTTTTTGCATACAGTTATCTTCTTAAGAATTTGTATACAAGAAGTCTATATAAGGGAGAC